TGCAGAGATGATAAATAATTTGCTCGGTGGGACACAGTGTCTCACACCTGTAATCCCAACACTTTAGGAGACCAAGGCAGGCAGATCATGTGTGGTCAGGAGTTCGAGACCAGCCTGGCCAACATGGTGAAACCCCGTCTCTACGAAAAATACAAAAGTTAACTGGGCATGGTGGCAGGTTCCTGTAATCCTAGTTACTTAGGAGGCTGAGGCAGGAGAATCACTTGAACCTGGGAGGCAGAGGTTGCAGTGAGCCGAGATCGTGACATTGTGCCCCAGCCTGGGCGACAGACCAAGACTCCATCTCAAAAAAAAAAAAAAGAAAGAAAGAAAAGAAAAGAAATTGCTCAATGCCACCCACTCATCAGTTGGAGGAGCCAGGATTTGAACCTAAGCCTTCCAGCTCCAGGGTCCCCATTCTTTGCCGCTTGCTGTAATTGGGGATGCCTGTGTGTATGCCTTCCCTAGGTCTGCCACAACAAATTAACGAACACTGCTTGGTGGCTTCAAGCAACATAAATTTATTCTCTTACAGTTGTGGAGGCTAGAAGCTTGAAGTCAAGGTTATCATGAGTGCCACATTCCCTTCAAACACTGTAGGGGAAGATCTCTCCTTGCCTTTTCTAGCTCTTTTTTTTTTTTTTTTTCTGAGACAGAGTGTCTTTCTATTGCCCAGGCTGGAGTGCAGTGGTGCGATCTTGCCTCACTGCAACCTCCGCCACCCGGTTCAAGCAATTCTCCTGCCTCGGCCTCCCAAGTAGCTGAGATTACAGGCACATGCCACCATGCCTGGCTAAGTTTTGTATTTTTAGTAGAGACGGGGTTTCACCATGTAGGTCAGACTGGTCTCAAACTCCTGACATCGTGATCCACCCACCTTGGCCTCCCGAATTGCTGGGATTACAGGTGTGAGCCACCGCGTCTAGCCAGCTTCTTCCTTTTTAAAAAATGTTCATCTCGTTATTTAGAGGCTGGATTATGAGACTGGTTAATTTTTGTATTTTTTTTCTTGTAGAGGCAGGGTCTTGCTATGTTGCCCAGGCTGGTCTCAAACTCCTGGGCTCAAGCGATCCACCGGCCTCGGCCTCTCAAAGTGCTAGGATTACAAGCGTGAGCCACCGTGCCCGGCCAGCCTTTTCTAGCTCCTGGTGACTCCTGGTGTTTCTTGGCTTGTGATAGCATCACTCCAATCTCTGCCTCATCATCTCTGGGCATCTTCCCTGTATGTCACACCTCTCTCTCTTTTCTCTGACAAGTATTTGAATTTAGGGCCCATCCTAAATCTGATCTTGAGATCCTTGACTTAATTACATCAAGAAAGCCTCTATTTCCAAAGAAGTTCACATTCCCAGGTACCAGGAGTTAGGACTTGAGGATGTATTTTGGGGTGATCCTATTCAATGCACCATACCATGCTTTAGCCTCAACTGGTGGCTCTTGCTTTCAAGAAACAGTGACAGTGTCTGCTGGCACTAGGAAGCCAGGATGTTCATCCACCGCCATTGGTGTGTGCAGGGGTTGGAGTGGCCCCAGCTCTACCTCAACCTTCACAACTCTGCCAGGAGCCAAGGACCTTATGGAAAAGGAATAGACCCAGGCTACCTAGCTCTTGTGTGGCAGAGCAGAACGTGCACCCGGGACTAGGGGACCGCAGCTCATTCCAGTGCCTCCCATAACATTGTAGAATATTCTAGAGTGATCTGGGTGGCCAGAACAGGCATCATTTACTCTCATTTTCCAGGGGGAAATGGAAATTCAGAGAGGTTCTCTGGATTGCACAAGGTCACACAGTGGTGTACAGGTTGGTCTTGGAGATGCAGGAAGGACCCTCCCTCCACGCCCCATGGGGGCTCCCCACACTGCCACTGCCTCTTCAGGGGAACTGCCACTGGGGACTTCATTGACTGATTTTGTCACAAGCAGAAATATGTCCTGGAGGTGGCAGGAGGAGACAGTTTCAAAGCTTGGTGATGGTCCTCAGACTTGTCCTTGAAGAGCCTTCTAATGTGTGTCCCCTAGAATGCCACGATGCAAAAGACTTGCCTAAAAAACCAGCTGCCTTAATTAAGTAATAATCTGTTTTGTTTTAGAGACAGGGTCTCTCTCTGTTGCCCAGGCTGGAATGCAGTGCCTCAATCATAGCTCACTGCAACCTTGACCTCCTGAGCTCAAATGAGCCTTCTGCTTCAGCCTCTCAAGTAGCCAGGACTACAGATGTGCACCACCATGCCCAACTAATTTTTAAAATTTTTGTACCGATGGCGGTCTCGCTGTTTTCCAGGCTGGTCTTGAACTCTTGGCCTCAAGCAAACCTCCTGCCTCAGCCTCCCAAAGTGCTGGGATTACAGGTGTGAGCCATTGCCCTCAGCCTTAATCTTTTTAAAGAAAAATCCAAATACATGTGGAATGTAGAAGCAATAAACACTGTAAATGAGCAAGAAAGGACTCAACTCATTTAATGAGACACCATGTCATTACTTTCGCACGGAAAAAAGCTACCAAACTTTACCTGCTTAGCAGGAGAGGGCGCTGGCATCTTTAATGAACAGTGGCTTCAGTGTAGGCAAATAGGCAATTTTTGTTAAGCATTTTGACTACAAAGGTCTGGGGAATCCCAGCTTGGAAATTGTTACCAGTGAATGATTTTCCATAGGTTCTCCAAGGGGTGACATAAGGCATACCTATAATAAAATAAAATAAAACAGAATAAAATAAAGTAAAAAAAAATGTATATAGGCAGGGCACAGTGGCTCATGCCTGCAATCCCAGCACTTTGGGAGGCCGAGGCAGGCAAATCACGAGGTCAAGAGATCGAGACCATCCTGGCCAACATGGTGAAACCCCATCTTTACTAAAAATACAAAAATTTAGCTGAGCATGCTGGCATGGGCCTGTAGTCCTAGCTACTCGGTAGGCTGAGGCAGGAGAATCGCTTGAACCCGGGAGGCGGAGGTTGCAATGAGCCGAGATCGCACCACTGCACTCCAGCCTGGATGACAGAGCAAGACTCTGTCTCAAAAAAATAAAAATAAAATAAAATGTATATGTATATATAACATATATACATATACATGCATATTTATATATTCACACACATTTATTGTGTTTTTAAAATTATATAATGAGGTGTGGTACATCTGTAACCCCAGCTACTCAGGAGGGAGGGAAGGTCACTTGAGCCCAGGAGTTGGAGGCTGCAGTGAGCTAGGATCGCACCACTGAGTTCCAGTCTGGGGGACACATTGAGAACTTGCCTCTCTCTTTTGTTGTTGTTGTTGTTTTGTTTTGCTTTTGAGACGAGTCTTGCTCTGTTGCCCAGACTGGAGTGCAGTGGTGTGATCTCTGCTTACTGCAACCTCCGCCTCCCAGGTTCAAGAGATTCTCCTGCCTCAGCCTCCCGAGTAGCTGGGACTATAGGTGCGCACCACCACGCTCAGCTAAATTTTTGTATTTTTAGTAGAGATAGGGTTTCACCATGTTGGCCAGGATGGTCGTGATCTCTTGACCTCATGATCCCGCCCGCCTTGGCCTCCCAAAGTGCTGAGATTACAGGCATGAGCCACTGGGCCCAGCCAGAGACCTTGTCTCTCAAAAGAAAAATTATAAGATGAAAACATATCCATCGTGGAACATTTAGAAAATATAGACAAACACAAAGAGGAAAATCTTTCTTTTTTTTTTTTCTGAGACAGAGTCTCAGTCAGAGTGTTGCCTAGACTGGAGTGCAATGGTGCGATCTCGGCTCACGGCAACCTCCGCCTCCCAGGTTCAAGTGATTCTCCTGCCTCAGCCTCCCGAGGAGCTGGGACTACAGGCATGTGCCACTGTGCCCGGCTAATTTTTGTATTTTGTTAGAGACAGGGTTTCACCATGTTGGCCAGGCTGGTCTTGAATTCCTGACCTCAGGTGATCCAGGTGCTTCGGCCTCCCAAAGTGCTGGGATTATAGGCGTGAGCCACCATGCCCAGCCTGAAAAAATACCCCCTTAACCTTAACATTCAGATAAACATTGTTAACATTTTATTTCTATGTATTTAGATTTATTCTATGGACGGTTTGTATTTTAAAGGCTGATTACTATTCTATTCTATGGAATACAACAGTCATATAACCAGTCCCCTATTTGTCTATTCTTGGACATGTGTACCTCTGCTTTTTACTATAATCAGTAACGAGGCAATAAACATTCTTGTATGAATTTTATTTTATATCTGCATCAGATTAATTGAGGATGAATAGCTAGAAATGGCATCGTTAAAATGATATCAGCAGCTGGGTGTGGTGACTCATGCCTGTAATTCCAGTGCCTTGGGAGGCTGAGGTGGGACAATCACTGGAGGCTGGGAGTTGAGACTAGCCTGGGCAACATAGTGAGATCCCATCTCTACGAAATGTAAAAAATTAGCTGGGTATGGTGGGGCCTGTGGTCTCAGGTACTCTGGAGGCTGAGGTGGGAGGATCTTTTGAGCCCAGGAGTTCGAGGCTGCAGTGATCTAAGGTTGTGCCACTGCACTCCAGCCTGGGTTACAGAGTGAGACGCCAACTCCTAAAAAAAAATGGTATGACTCTTCCAATGGTCCCTGATGAATATTTTCAAATTATCCTTTAGAACTATGATGCCAAGTCAACACCACATGAAAACACCCGTACACCACCAGCTATTATAGTCATCTCTCATCATGATGGGTGCAATTTGATAGACGAAGACGAAGAAGAAATCGTATCTTGCTATGTTTTAGATTTATTTGCTTCCTGGTGAAATTTATATGCTTTTTCCTTCTCCTGGGCTTGTTGGCTATTTGAGTTTCTTTGGAGAAGAAGCTGCGTTTTCCTTTGCCCAGCTTCCTTGTGGAGCACCCTGACCCTGGAGGTTGACCTGGGGGAGGAATGCCCCACCTGCTCTGTTACATTCTTTGGGGACACCGTTGCCACCAGAATCCCAGGCTGGGAGGGGTCTGAATCTCTTCACCCAGAGCACGGTTCCCTTGTCCCTCCTGCAGCGAGTGAAGAGACTTGGCTTGGTGGCGTTTGCCAGCCCGGGGGATGATGGAGATGGCAGAGCCGAAGCTTTTAGCCTGGTGCTCCCACTTAGTGAGCGGGCAAGGGCTGCAGGAGGTGGGGAGAAGGAGTGTCAGGAGGTGAGGGTGTCCTAGGAACTGATTGTGAGATTTCAGAAAGAGGAAGGGCAGCTGGATGAGATGGATGGGGATTTGGTCACTTAGAACTCAAGCTTGGTGTGACCTGTGAGGGCAACTGTTGTGGAGATGTGAGCGGTTAAGGACAAATTGAATGGTAGCAAATCGGAGAAAATGGTATGAATCCAGGAACAAAGGCAAAAGAGAGCAGGTATGTTCAGAACGGTATCCTGCATTCCACAGAGTGTCCCTGCCTTCTTTGGGTCCCTGTCCCTCCAAGCCCCTTCTTGCAGTCTCCAGGGCACAGCTGTTTTTTTCTTTTCTTTTCTTTTCTTTTTGAGACAGAGTCTCACTATATTGTCCAGACTGGAGTGCAGTGGCGTGATCTCAGCTCACTGCAACCTCTGCCTCCCGGGTTCAAGTGATTCTCCTGCCTCAGCCTCCCGAGTAGCAGGTGCCCGCCACCACGCCCGGCTGATTTTTGTATTTTTCGTAGAGACGAGGTTTCACCATGTTGGCCAGGCTGGTGTTGAACTCCTGACTTCAGGTGATCCGCCCACCTCGGCCTCCCAGAGTGTTGGGATCACAGGTGTGAGCCTCCGCACCCGGCCTCCAGGGCCCTGCTTCTAAGGCATAGTTGGGATCATGGCTTTTTACTGAACTAAGTCAAGTCCAAACCCCATTCTAGGCTGGTTCACGTCCATTTTCCTAGCTTCCCTCTGTCTTAGTGTCTTCCCTTACCCCAAACACACAGTGAGGACTTTTACTCACCTCTGGGCCCCCACACATGCTGTTCTCCTGCCCTGAAACCTTCCCCTTCCTCCTCTTTATTCCTCTAGCCCTTTTTGGGGGATAAAGGTAAAAGTCACTTTAATTTCTTTTATTTTTTTTTAGAAATGAGGTTTTTCTCTGTTGCCCAAGCTGGAGCGCAGTGACCCAATTATAGCTCAGTACAACCCAGAATTCCTGGACTCCAGTGATCCTCCCACCTCAGCCTCCCAAGTAGCTGAGACTGCAGGGACACAGCACCATGTCTGGCTAATTTTTTGTTGAGACAGGGTCTCCTTATTTTGCCCAGGCTGATCTCAAACTCCTGGGTTCAAGCAATCCTCTGCCTTGGCCTCCTAAAGTGCTGGGATTACAGGCATGAGCTGCCACATCTGGCCTTTTTGTTTTGTTTTGTTTGAGATAAGGTCTTTCTGTGTTGCCCAAGCTGGAGTGCAGTGGTGCAGTCATAGCTCACTGCAGCCTTGAGCTCCTGGGCTCAAGCAGTTGTCCTGCCTCAACCTCCTGAGTACCTGGAACTGACTACAGGTGCATGTACCACACTGGGCTAATATTTAAATTTATTTTTTGTAAAGACGGGATCTTGCTATGTTGCCCAGGTGGTCTTGAACTCCTGGCCTCAACTAATCTTTCCACCTTGGCCTCCCAAAATGCTGGAATTACAGGTATGACCCACCGTACCTGGCCAAAAGCCATCTTTAGAATGTGCTTGAATTCTATGTTATTAGCTGAGTGACCTTGGAAATTATTTATCCTTAGAACCTTGATTCCTATGTAAAATAGAAATAGTGGCCAGGTGCGGTGGCTCATATCTGTAATTCCAGCAGTTTGGGAGGCCAAGGCGGGTGAATCACATGAGGTCAGGAGTTTAAGACCAGCCTGCCAACATGGCAAAATCGTGTCTCTACTAAAAATAGAAAAATTAGCCAGGTATGGTGGCGGGCACCTGTAATCCTAACAACTTGGGAGGGTGAGGCAGGATAATTGCTTGAACCTGGGAGGTGGAGGTCGCAGTGAGCCAAGATCCTGCCACTGCACTCCAGCCTGGGTGACACAGCGAGACTCTGTCAAAAAAAAAACAACAACATTAAATAGCCATGTCCACCTTGCAGGGTTGTTGTGATGTTTATATTTGGTAACTAAGAGAAAGCTTTGGACTTTCCAGCATTCACTGACTCATTCACTGAGAAAGTCTCTGTGAGCCTCTACAGGGCTAACTGAACAGGACAGAAATGTTCTTTATCCTCATGGAGTTCACAGCCTACAAGGGCAAAGACATTCCTAGGAAGTTACAGAATCACTGAGTTCCAGTTAATATGTCTTGTGATAGGGCGAGTACAGGAATCTGATCCGTACCCAATAAACGGCAGCTCTCCCCACCCCTGTTCATACCTCGTGAGTCAGTTATGGAGATGACCATAAACTACCTTTACATGCTTTTTCATTGTTTGACTTGTGACAACAGACACATTCTACTTTTATAACTTAAAAATTCCGGTAAAATTTATGAGTAAACCCAACAGACTCCCATTTTTAAAAGAAGAAGGAAAAAATGACAGGTCAAGTATCACCTCCTCCTGGAAGCCTCCCTTGATGAGAGGCAGGAGAGGCCGCCCTGCTGCATTGAGTCCTGCGTTGCCCTCATATGGGCCCCTGCTGTCTCCTCGCTGTACTGAGGGTCTAGGAGCCCCCGTGAGGGGCAGGGGGTACATCTGCCTTTGATCTCAATGTTACCAGATGGCACCAGGCTCTTGGTGTCCCAGACAAAGATTTGGATGTGACACATACAAATAGCAAAGCAAGCAGCAAAAGTTTGTTACACACAGTGTTACACTCTCAAAGAGGAGAGAGCGGACTGATCTCTGTGAGGTGAGATCAGCATCAGTTTGGTGTATTTTGCATCTTTTTTTTTTTTTTTTTTTTTGACAGAGCCTTGCTCTGTCACCCAGGCTAGAGTGCAGTGGTGTGATCTTGGATCACTGCAACCTCCGCCTCCGGGTTCAAGCGATTCTCCTGCCTCAGCCTCCTGAGTAGCTGGGATTACAGGCACCCACCACCACGCCCGGCTAATTTTTGTATTTTTAGTAGAGATGAGGTTTCACCACGTTTGCCAGGCTGGTCTCAAACTCCTGACCTCAGGTGATTAAGGGCCTCCCAAAGTGCTGGGATTACAAGCAGGGGCCACTGTGCCTGGCCAAGGGGAGCAGTTTTAAAGGATAACTTGGTGGGTGGGGGGAGCCAGTGAGTCAGGAGTGTTCATTGGTCAGAGATGAAATCACAGGGAGTCGAAGCTGTCTTCCTGCGCTGAGTCAGTTCCTGGGTGACAGCCACAAGATCAGATGGGCCAGTTTATTGATCTGGGTGGTGCCAGCTGGTGTATCAAGTGCAGAGTCTGCAAAATATCTCAAGCACTGGTCCTGGGAGCAGTTTACGGAGGGTCAAAATCTAGTAACCTCCAGCTGCATGACGCCTAAACCATCATTTCTAATCTTGTGGCTAATGTTAGTCCTACAAAGGCAATCTAGCCCCCAGGCAAGAAGAAAGTCTGCTTTGGGAAAGGGCCATTACCATCTTTGTTTCTCCTCAAGTTAATTCAGCCTACTCCCAGGAATGAACAAGGACAGCTTGGAGGTTAGAAGCAAAATGGAGTCAGCTAAGTGAGATCTCTTTCACTGTCTCAGTCATAATTTTGCAAAGGCGGTTTCAGCTGGAGGGCTGAGTTTTCCTGTGGGTGCAGAAAGGTCGGGTGGCTGAGGATTGTGGTGGTCTCTGGGTGAGACACAGAGGAGGTTTCTAAGAGGTGAGTGGGGGAGGTGACCTCAGAGACCAGAAGGGAAGAGGGGTCCCTTGCTCAAGTGAGGGAGGAAGTCTATGGGAAGGAGCACCTCGTGAGCCTGTTTTGAGCCCTGCCACCCTCCACTTTGGTGCCTGCCTATGCCCCGCCATCCTCTCTGACCCTTGTACTCAGGGTTCAGGGATGCTCCACCTCCACCTTGGCAGTCCCTGGAGCTCAGCCCTTCCACTACCATCAGGTTGAACTAGACAAAACCTAGCTCATAAATGAGAGGATCGGGCAAAACCTCAAATGTCCACTGACTTCAAAACAAACACGTGGCTGGTGTGTGCCTCAAGCCTGTAATCCCAGCACTTTAGGAGGCCGAGGTGGGAGAATCACTTGAGGCCAGAAGTTTGAGACTGGCCTGGGCAACATAGCAAAACCCCATCTCTAAAAAAACAAATTTTTAAAATTAGCACGCCCCTGCTAATTGAAATGGTGGCACGCCCCTGTAGCACCAACCATTTGGGAGGCCGAGGCAGGAGGATCACTCCAGCCTGGGAGTTTGGGGCTGCAGTGACTCCAGCCTAGAAGTAGGATGGTGATGTAGTTTGAGTATTTATCCCTTCCCAGATCTCATGTTGAACTGTAATCCCCAGCCTAGGTAAGAGACCCTGTGGAAGAAAAAAAAGAAAGCCAACAAAATCCAAAAATCTCCCCCAAACACCAAGCCATCTTTTCAATCTTTTCCATGAAGTTAGAATTCCAAAAAATCTTAGGCATTATTGCCTTTGACCTGAACTGCATTGATCAATGATTTGATAGTGCTCTGTCTACCCCTCCACCCCGGCCTTCCGTCCTGGTCCAGCTCCTAGCCTCTCCCTGTGATTATGTGTCTCTTTCGTGACTCTGTAAAACTGGGGCCATCTGGGATGGTGGAGAGTGCCTCTGCTCTGGTGGACTGAACTGTCTCCTCTGCAAGGGGCCAAGGTTGGCCTTCCTGAGACAAGTGAGAAGAATGCAGCTCTCGGCATCTTGGAGATTGACAGATGGGACAAAAGGCCATACACCCTGTCCTCTCAAGGAAGTCCCTTATACATCATCCTGTAGAATTCCTAATAACTCCTGGGCTGATGGCACTACTGTCACAGATTCTGTGCATATACAATCTGATTCATTTCATAGGCAGGATGAAGAAAGCCAGGAATTATGTGTCTGTTTTACATAGGAAAATGGAATTCTGCATGTACTGTCACATGTTCTAAGTAGCACAGAGAAGATACAGTAGCTCCTCCAGCCCAGGGCCAAGATAATGCTTTGTTTTTGAGATGTAGTCTCACTCTGTCACCCAGGCTGGAGTGCAATGGTGCGATCTTGGCTCACTGCAACCTCTGCCTCCCTGGTTCAAGAGACCCTCCTGTCTCAGCCTCCCAAGTAGCTGGGATTGCAGGCACATGCCATCATGACTGGTTAATTTTTGTATTTTTAGTAGAGATGGGGTTTTGCTGTGTTGGCCAGGCTGGTCTTGGACTCCCGACCTCAAGTGATTTGCCTGCCTCAGCCTCCCAAAGTGCTGGGATTACAGGTGTGAGTCACTGCACCCAGACTAGCTAATGATTTTTTTTTTTTTTTTACAGTTGTAGCCCTTCGAGTGGGCCTGAACCAGGGTGGAGGAGGTGCTCCCTGGGCAGGCTACGAGGGCTGCAGGATGACCAGGTAGATGTGGCAGTGTTCCAAGAAAAGTGATGACAGTCCTTGAATATTTGTCCTCATCCAAATCTCATGTTGAGTTGTAATCCCCAGTGTTGCAGGTGGGGCCTGGTGGGAGGTGTTTGGATTATTGGGGGCAGATCCCTGTTGAATGGCTTGGACCATCCCCTTGGTTATGAATGAGCTCTCATTCTGAGTTCACACAAGATCTGGTCTTTTAGAAGTGTGTGGGCCGGGCACAGTGGCTCACGCCTGTAATCCCAGCACTTTGGGAGGCCAAGGCAAGGAGATCACCTGAGGTCGGGAGTTTGAGACCAGCCTGACCAACATGGAGAAAACCCGTCTTTACTAAAAATACAAAATTATCTGGGCATGGTGGATGCCTGTAATCCCAGCTACTTGGGAGGCTGAGGCAGGAGAATCGCTTGAACCCAGGAGGCAGAGGTTGCGGTGAGCCAAGATCGCGCCATTGAACTCCAGCCTGGGCAACAAGAGCGGAACTACATCTGGGAAAAAAAAAAAAAAAGGAAAGAAGCATGTGGCATTGGCTGGGTTTGGTGGCTCACACCTGCAATCCCAGCACTTTGGGAGGCCAAGGTGGGCAGATCATTTGAGGTCAGGAGTTCGATATCTGCCTGGCCGTCATGGTGAAACTCTGTCTCTACTAAAAATACAGAAATTAGTCAGGTGCAGTGGTGGGCACCTGTAATCCCAGCTACTCGGGAGGCTGAGTCAGGAGAATCACTTGAACCCAGGAGCCGGAGTTTACAATGACCCGAGATTGCGCCAATGCACTCCAGACTGGTTGACAGGCTGTCTCAAAAAAAAAAAAAAAAGAAAGAAAAAAGAAATGTGTGTGGTCCCTCCCCTACACCCTTTGCCTCTCTCTTGCTTCTGCTTTTGCCATGTGACCAGCCTGCTCTCCCTTCACCTTCTGCCATGATTGGAAGTTTCCTGAAACCTCCCTAGAAGCAAACATCAGCACCATCCTTCTTGTATGGCCTGTAGAACTGTGAGTCAATTAGACCTCTTTTCTTTATAAATGACCCAGGCTCAGGTATTTCTTTATAGCAATGCAAGAAAGGCCTAATACAGGTGGCTAGCTCTTGTGTATGTAATGCATCTGGAGAGAAAGGACAGAGAGAATTGTCCATGGAATGGGTGACTGCCTTAGCTCTTCTGTTTTTCCTGGGTTGGCAGCTACAGAGTTAGAGGTCAAAGGGGTCTCTCAGATGTCAAGGATGAGGAAGAGAGACTTGTCAGATCATGTGTGATATGGTTTGGCTGTGTCCCCACCCAAATCTCATCTTGAATTTTAGCTCCCATAATTCCCATGTGTTGTGGGAAGGACCCAGTGGGAGACAACTGAATCATGGGGGCAGGTTCCCTCATACTGTTCTTGTGGTAATGAATAAGTAAGTCTCACGAGATCTGATGGTTTTATCAGGGGAAACCCCTTTCACTTGACTCTCATCCTCTCTCTTGCCTGCTGCCATGTAAGATGTGCCTTTCACCTTCCACCATGATTGTGAGGCCTCCCCAGCCATGTGGAACTGTGAGTTCATTAAACCATTTGTTCTGTATAAATTACCCAGTCTCTGGTATGTCTTTCTCTTCCTCCTCCTCCTCCTACTCTTTTTCCTTCTCTTCCTCCTCCTCCTCTCCCTCCTCCTTTCCTCCTCCTCCTCCTCCTTCTTCTTCCCCTTCTTCTTCTTTCTTCTTCCTCTTCCTCTTCCTCTTCTGTTTTTTGAGACAGAGTCTCGCTCTGTCACCCAGGTTGGACAGCAGTGGTGCGATCTCAGCTCACTGCAACCTCTGCCTCCCGGGTTCAAGTGATTCTCCTGCCTCAGCCTCCCAAGTAGCTGGGATTACAGGTGGCTGCCACAACACCTGGCTAATTTTTGTACTTTTAGTAGAGACTGGGTTTCACAATGATGCCTAGGCTTGTTTCGAACTCCTGACTTCAAGTGATCTGCCACCTCGGCCTCCCAAAGTGCTAGGATTACAGGCATGAACCACCACACCTGGCCTTGGGTATGTTTTTATCAGCAGTGTGAAAATGGACAAGTACAATGTGTAAGCAAGACAATATAAGGTCTGCAAAACGCAGAATGTGAGGTACAGAAGGAATGTGTGTGGGGGCATTTGTGGGAGTACAACCTTCTGCTGGAGTTGATGCCTGAGCACCTTGATAGATGAACATGTCCCAGTGTGGCTAGGGTGGAAACAGCAGGTAATACTGGACAGAGGCATATAAGTACAGTTCTCCACCACTATACAGATGTCAAAACCCAGAGCCACACTACTAACAATTCAAGTTCCTTCTTCTTCTTCTTTTTTTTTGAGACGATGTCTCACTCTGTCACCAGGCTGGAGTGTAGTGTCATGATCTCAGCTCACTGCAACCTCCACCTCCTGGGTTCAAGTGATTCTCGTGCCCTAGCCTCCCAAGTAGCTGGGATAACAGGTGTGCACCACCACACCTGGCAAGTTTTTTTGTATTTTTAGTAGAGATGGGATTTCACTCTGTTGGCCAAACTGGTCTCAAACTCCTGACCGCAAGTGATCCACCCGTCTTGGCCTCCCAAAGTGTTGGGATTACAGGCATAAGCCACCGCACCCGGCTCTAAAAATTCAAGTTACAAATTACAGTCAAGACTCAGAAAATTATCTAGTGACACCTTGCCCACTAGCCAAACGGTTATATTCCACAGAAGACACAAGGGTCTACACGAGGGGTCCCCAACCCCCTGGCCCCAGACCAGAACAGGTCCGTGGCCTGTTAGGAACTAGGACTCACAGCAAGAAGTGAGCAACGGGCCAGCAAAGCTGAGCTCTAACCCTATTGTGAACTGTGCATGCATCCTCCTTATGAGAATCTAATGGTAAATGTAATGTGCTTGAATCATCCTGGAACCATCCCCCAACAGCCCCCAGTCCCAGTCCTTGGAAAAATTGTCTTCCATGAAATCGGTTCCTGGTGCCAAAAAGGTTGGGGACTGCTAGTCTACACCACCAGTGAGATTTCTTCAAATCTACAGGTTTACTCGACCCTTCCTATGCCCCTGAAAGAGGGACTTGAGCTTCAATATCACGAGGTGACCAGGTATCTTTCAGCCTGGATGTGTCAGAGTTGACTAGCACCACATCTGTCTGGTGATCTGGGGCTACTGTAGGAGACAGTCATAAATCATAGCACTTTCTCTGGTTTCTCTCAACTCACAGGCTCAACAGAAAGCACTAGTATTGAAGATAATACAAGTTCTGCATCCACACCCAGTTCAAGTGACTCTTTTACCACTTTTAGTGGCTATGGGATATCAACCAAATTTACTACTGTAAAACCCATTGTCTCTGCCACCATCTCAGAGGGCTCGAAATATACAACCTTCCACAGCAGCCAAGGCTCCAGTCACACAACACTCTTCCCTCACAGCACCACAAGCTCAGGCATCACTGAAACATCTAAACACGTCCACAACAGCACTGGTTCAACACACACAACACTGTCCCCTGCCAGTTCCACAAGCGCTGGCCTTCAGGAAGAATCTGGAACTTTCCAGAGCTGGCCAAGCTCAAATGACACAACACCTTCATATCCTAGCACCACATCAGCCCCTGTTGAAGTATCTACAACCTACCACAGCAGACAGACCTCAATTACAACAACACAATTTTCTGCCAGCTCAGAAACCTTGGACCATGGTGAGGAATTAACAAAAGTCCACAGCAGCACAGATGGAACTGGAACAACACCCTTACCTACCCGCTCCACAACCTCAGTTCTTGGAGAATACACAGTATCACCCATCACTTCAGGCTCAACGGAAACAGCAATGTTAAGTGGCAGTACCACAACACCAGGCCTCAGTAAGAAACCTACCACCATCTACGGTAGCCCCAGAGCAGCAGACACAACACTTTCCCCTGCCAGCAAGACAAGCTCAGGCATCAGGGAAGAACTCACCACATCCCACAGCCGACCAGGCTCAATGCACACAACACTGTTACCTGCCAGTGCTACAACTTCAGGGCTCAGTGAGAAGCCTACAACCATCCCCAGCATGCCAGACTCAGTGCACACAACGCTGTTACTGGCCAGCACCACAACGTTAGGCCTCAGTGAAAAATCAACAACTTCCCACAGCAGTCCAGGCTCAACGGAGACAACACTCTTCCCTGAAAGCACTACAACCTCAGGACGCAGTGAAGAATCAACAACTTCCTACAGCAGCACAACTCACACACCATCACCTCCTAGAACCACATCTGCCCTTGTTAAAGAATCTTCAAGTTACCACAGTAACCTGGGCTCTCCTGCAACAAAACACTTCCCTGACAGCTCCACAACCTCAGGCCATAGTGAGGAATCAACAGCATCCCACAGCAGCCCAGACGCAATGGAAACCACATTCTTACCCAACCGCTCCACAGTCTCAGCTCTGCTTAGAGAATCTACAACCTCACCCATCAGTTCAGGCTCAGTGGAAACAACAATGTTACCCAGCAGTACCACAACACCAGGCCTCAGTGAGAAATCGACCACTTTCCACAGTAGCCCCAGATCACCAGACACAACACTCTCACCTGCCAGCACGACAAGCTCATCTGTCAGTGAAGAATCCACCACCTCCCTCAGCCGACCGGGGTCAACGCACACAATGGCGTTCCCTGACAGCACCACCATACCAGGCCACAGTCAGGAATCGACAACTTCCCACAGCAGCCCAGGCTCAACAGACACAACACTATTCCCTGGCAGGACCACAGCACCATCCCTTGGTCAAGAATCCACAACCTTCCACAGCAGCCCAGGCTCCACTCATACCACACTCTACCCTGACAACTCCACAACCTCAGGCCTCCTTGAAGCATCTACACCCGTCCACAGCAGCACTGGTTCACCATACAAAACACTGTCCTCTGTCCGATCTACAACCCATCAGGGGGAACCTACCACCCTCATGAGCTGGTCAAGCTCAAATGACACTACGCCCACACCTCCTACTACCACATCAGCCTTTGTTGATGTATCTACATCCTACCAAAGCAGCCTGAGCTCAACTCCAACAACCCACTTCTCTCGAGGCTCCACAAGCTTGCGCCGTAGTGAGGAATCAACAATAGTCCACAGCAGCCCAGATGCAACTGGAACAACAGCCTCACCCGCCCACTCCACAGCCTCAGGTCGTGGAGAATCTACAATCTCACCCATCAGTCCAGTCGCAGCTGAAATAACAACATTACCTGGCAGTACCACAACAACAGGCCTCAGTGAGACATCTACCACCTTACACAGTAGCCCCAGATCACCGACCACAACACTCTCACATACCAGCATGACAAGCCTAGGCATCAGTGAAGAATCCACCACCTCCCATAGCCAACCGGGCTCAACTCACTCAACAGTGTCACCAGCCAGCACCACCATGCCAGGCCTCAGTGAGGAATCTAGCACCATCTACAGTAGCCCAGGTTCAACTGAAACCACAGTGTCCCCTGGTAGCAGCACAACCTCAATTCGTGGGGAAGAATCCACAACCTTCCACAGCCTGCCAGCATCAACTCACACAACACTGTTCACTGAGGACACCACCACCTTGGGACACACTGCGAAATCTACAGCCTTCCCCGGCAGCCTTGTCTCCACCCAAACAGTGTTACCTGCCACCCTCACAACCACAGACCTCGGTGAGGAAACAACAACCTTCCTCAGCACCTCAGGCTCAAGTGAAACAACACTGTCACCTGCCCGCTCCACAACCACAGGCCTTGTTGGACAATCTACAACCTCACCCATGAGTCCAACCTCAACTGATACAACAACAACTTTATCTGGCATTACCACATCACCAAGCCTCAGTGAGAAATCTACCACCTTCTACACTAGCCCCAGATCACCAGATGCAACACTCTCACCTGCAACCACAACAAGCTCAGGCGTCAGTGAAGAATCCAGCACATCCCTTAGTCAACCAGGCTCAAAGCACACAACAGCCTTCCCCGACAGCACCACCATGTCAGGCCTCAGTCAGGAACCTACAACTTCCCACAGCAGCCAAAGTTCAACAGACACAGCACTGTCCCCTGGCAGTACCACAGCCTCATCCCTTGACCAAGATTTTACAACCTTCCCCAGCAGCCCAGGCTCCACTGAAACCACAGTCTCACCTGAAAACACCACAACCTCAGGCCTCGATGAAGCATCTACACCCATCCACAGCAGCACTGGCTCACGACACACAACACTGTCCCCTGCCAGCTCCACAAGCCCTCAGGGAGGCCTTCAGGGAGAATCTACCACCTTCCAGACCCACCTAGGCTCAACTCACACAGCACCTTCACCTCCTAGCACCACAACTACACTTGTTGAAGAATCTACTACCGCCAACAGCAGCCCGGGCTCAACTGCAACAACACACTTCCCTGACAGCTTCACAACCTCAGGCCATAGTGTGGAATCAACAGCATCACACAACAGCCCAGATGCAATGGAAACCACATTCTTACCCACCCGCTCCACGGTCTCAGTTCTTTTTGGAGAATCTACAACCTCACCCATCAGTTCAGGCTCAGTGGAAACAACAATGTTACCCAGCAGTAACACAATAGTAGGCCTCAGTGAGACAACGACCACTTTGCACAGTAGCCCCAGATCATCAAACACAACACTCTCACCTGGCAGTAGGAGAAGCTCAGGTGTCAGTGGAGAATCCACCACCTCCCTCAGCCAAGCAGGGTCAATGCACACAACGGTGTTCCCTGAAAGCACCACCATACCAGGCCTCAGTCAGGAATCTACAATTTCCCACAGCAGCCCAGGCTCAAGAAACACAACATTGTTCCCTGGCAGGACGACAGCATCATCCCTTGGTCAAGAATCCACAATCTTCCACAGCAGCCCAGGCTCCACTCACACCACACTCTTCCCTGACAACACCACAACCTCAGGCCTCGTTGAAGCATCTACGCCTGTCCACAGCAGGACTGGCTCAACACACACAACACTGTCCTCTGTCGACTCTAAAACCCATCAGGGGGGAGCTACCACACTTGCCAGCTGGTCAGGCTCAAATGACACTACACCTGCACCTCCTTCTACCACATCAACCTTTGTTGATGTATCTACATCCTACCAAAGCAGCCCGAGCTCAACGCCAACAACTCACTTTTCTGTCAGCTCCACAAGCTTGGGCCAGAGTGAGGAATCAACAATAGTCCACAACAGCCCAGATGCAATTGGAACAACACCCTCACCCACCCACTCCACAATCTCAGGTCATGGAGAATCTACAATGTCACCCATCAGTTCAGGCACAACTGAAATAAAAATGTTACCTGGCAGTATCACAACAACAGGCCTCAGTGAGACATCTACCACCTTACACAGTAGCCCCAGATCACTGACCACAACATTCTCACCTGCCAGCAAGACAAGCCTAGGCATCGGTGAAGAATCCACCACCTCCCATAGCCAACCGGGCTCAACTCACTCAACAGTGTCACCGGCCAGCACCACCACACCAGGCCTCAGTGAGGAATCTACCACCATCTACAGCAGCCCAGGCTCAACTGAAACCACTGTGTCCCCTCGCAGCAGCACAACCTCAATTCGTGGGGAAGAATCCACAACCTTCCACAACCGGCTAGCCTCAACTCACACAACACTGTTCACTGAGGACACCACCACCTTGGGACTCACTCAGGAATCCACAGCCATCCCTGGCAGCCTTGTCTCCATGCAAACGGTGTTACCTGCCACTCTCACAATCACAGACCTCGGTGAGGAACCAACAACCTTCCCCAGCAGCTCAGGCTCAAGTGGAACAACACTCTCACCTGCCCGCTCCACAACCTCAGGCCTTGTTGGACAATCTACAATCTCACCCATGAGTCCAACCTCAACTGATACAACAACTTTACCTGGCATTACCACATCACCAAGCCTCAGTGAGAAATCTACCACCTTCTACACTAGCCCCAGATCACCAGATGCAACACTCTCACCTGCAACCACAACAAGCTCAGACGTCAGTGAAGAATCCAGCACAATCTTTAGTCAACCAGGCTCAAAGCCCACAAAAGCGTTCCCTGACAGCACCACCATACCAGGCCTCAGTCAGGAACCTACAACTTCCCACAGCAGTCAAAGTTCAACAGACACAACACTGTCCCCTGGCAGTGCCACAGCGTCATCCCTTGATCAAGATTTAACAACTTTCCACAGCAGCCCAGGCTCCACTGAAACCACAGTCTCACCTGAAAACACCATAACCTCAGGCCTCGAAGAAGCCTCTACACCCATCCACAGCAGCACTGGCTCACGACACACAACACTGTCCCCTGCCAGCTCCACAAGCCTTCAGGGAGACGTTCAGGGAGAATCTACCACCTTCCAGACCCACCCAGGCTCAACTCACACAGCAGCTTCACCTCCTAGCACCACAACTACCCTTGTTGAAGAATCTACTAACGCCGACAGCAGCCCAGGCTCAACTGCAACAACACACTTCCCTGACAGCTCCACAACCTCAGGCCATAGTGAGGAATCAACAGCATCCCACAGCAGCCCAGACACAATGCAAAACACATTCTTACCCACGCGCACAACAGTCTCACTTCTTGTTGGAGAATCTACAACCTCACCCATCAGTTCAGGCTCAGTGGAAACAACAATATTACCCAACAGTACCACAACACCAGGCCTCAGTGAGAAATCCACCAGTTTCCACAGTAGCCCCAGATCACCAGACACAACACGCTTACCTGCCAGCATGAAAAGCTCAGGTGTCAGTGAAGAATTCACCACCTCCCTCAGCCGACCAGGGTCAACGCACACAACACCGTTTCCTGAAAGTACCACTGTGCCAGGCCTCAGTCAGGAATCTACCACTTCCCACAGTAACCCAGGCTCAACAGACACAACACTGTTCCCTGGCAGGACCACAGCATCATCCCTTGGTCAAGAATCCACAACCTTCCACAGCAGCCCACGCTCTACTGAAACCACAGTCTCACCTAAAAACACTACAACCTCAGGCCTTGATGAAGCATCTACTCCCATCCACAGCAGCACTGGATCACGACACACAACACTGTCCCCTGCCAGCTCCACAAGCCCAGGCCCTGAGGGAGAATTTACCACCTTCCAAATCCCCCCAGGATCAACTCACACAGCACCTTCACCTCCCAGCACCACAACTACCCTTGTTGAAGGATCTACTACCGCCGACAGCAGCCCGGGCTCAACTGTAACAACA